CATGGCTAGGTAGCCACATTGCCATGTCAAATCTATACGCATATGGTCGACTTGCATGGAGTCCGAAAGATGATTCGGATGGTATCTTGCAAGACTGGATCCGGCTTACCTTCGGATCACACCCTCAAATTATCAATACCATTACCAACATCTCAATGGCCTCTTGGCCCGCCTACGAGAACTACAGTGGGAACCTAGGCATCCAAACCCTGACAGACATTCTTTACACCCACTACGGCCCAAACCCGGCCTCTCAAGACAACAACGGATGGGGTCAGTGGACTCGAGCAGACCACGAGTCCGTAGGGATGGATCGAACCGTCGGGAACGGAACCGGCTACACAGGTCAATACCCTACAGAGATTGCTCAACGATATGAGTACCTCAATTCCACTCCCGATGATCTGGTTCTATGGTTCCACCATGTCCCCTGGACGCATCGGCTTCACTCCGGCAAGACTGTCATCCAGCATTTTTACGATGCCCACTATGCCGGTGCCGAAACTGCGCAGACCTTCGTCACACAGTGGGAATCCCTACACCACCTGATTGACAAGGAAAGATACGACGCCGTACTTGACCGACTCATATACCAAGCCGGGCACTCCATCGTCTGGCGGGATGCCATCAACAACTTCTATTATAACCTTACGGACATCCCTGACCAGAAGAGACGGGTGGGCCATCATCCTTGGCGTATCGAGGCGGAGAGCATGATGCTGGACGGATACAAACCGTACACGGTCAGTCCGTTCGAGACGGCCTCGAATGTAACGGCCATTGTGACCACATCGAACTCAACAGCCGGGACAGCACAAACTACGCTCAACTTTCCATCAGGCACGTACGACATAGGCGTCAACTATTATGATCTATACGGTGGCGAGTCGCACTGGACACTGAGCCTGAATGACCAAGTCGTGGGCGAATGGGTAGGTAACTTCCGCAACCACTCGTTGGGTAATTCTGTCTCCATCTACTTGGATGGTCACTCGGCGACACGGATCACGTTTCAAGGAGTCAAGGTCCAGAAGGGGGATGAGTTGAAGATTGTCGGACGGCCGGATGGCGTTGAGCCTGCGCCAGTGGATTACGTAGTAGTACTTCCAGCCGGAGTGGTGGATTAGGTGGGAGTGTACATATATCGATGTCTCTCACCCTGATAGCGCAGAGAATCGATTGTACAGATGCCCGTCTCGGTCGCATGCCATTTCCAACCCCTCGACTACGGCCCGAACCCCTCCAAACTGCTACCTTCCTCGCGATAGTAGATTTGAAAACGTGTTGGAAAAAATGATATCATTCGCTTCATAAACCAAGATAACCCCTAATCTAAGCTACTTATTTAGCATCAGCGATCTTCTTCCAGCTCTCGCGGGCCTTCAGCTCCTCCCACCACTTCTGGGTGTGCGGGTACTTGGGCAGGAGCTCGGCGAAGCCGAACGGCTCGACGAAGGCGCCGTACGGAAGGTGGTACAGATCCGCCAGGGTCACGCTGTCACCGGCCAGGTACTTCTGCTTGGACAGGATGCGCTCGTAGCCCTGCAGGGCGGCGTCCAGCTGGGCGACCAGCGCCTGCACGCGGCCCTCGTCCGTCTGGCCCAGACCCTTGTACGCCTTGAAGACCTTCTCGAATGCGATGCCGGACACGGCGGGGTCGAAGTAGGATTGTTCGACGGAGAGAGCCTGCGTTTACAGATGTGTGGGTCAGGATCCAGCTGTTGTGTTGTGGGAGGGGCAGGGTATGGGTGAGCCACGTACCTGCTGGTACAGAGCGAAGGCCTTCAGGTCCGACTCGGGGGGGGAGACTTCGTTGCCCTGGCCGCGGTACTTGGAGGCGATGTACTGGCCGATGGCTCTACTTTCTGTAGCGGGAGAGAAGGGGGGGAGGTTAGAGCTGGCAATGCGGGGAGCGAGGGTGATGAGGGTGGGGGGGGAGCAAACGTACCGAAGATCTTGACTCCGGTCTCGGTGTCCTCGAGCGCGGGGACCTTGCCGAAGGGCTGGAGGTTCGCGAGGTAGGCCTCGGACTTGTGCTCGCCCTTGGCGAAGTCGATGGGGACGAACTCGTGGTCGACGCCCTTCTCGTTGAGGACAACCTGCACACGCTTGGTGCAGGTCGACATGGCGAGGCCGTGGAGCTTGAGGACCATTTTGGCGGGTTGTGAAGAGATGAAGTGAAGGTGATGTGTGAGGGAGGAGACTGAGAGATTGAGATGAAGGGATAGTGAGCGAGAAGTGAGAGACAAGGATGAGTACACGTAAGGTATATATGCGTAGACACGAGCAATGGCGGGGTCAAATGGATGCAATCGATGCAATCAATGCAATCATGGGTGGGTCCTGAAAACTGGGGCCCGCTTACGAGATTCCAAGGGGAGAAGGCGGAATTTCTTCCGCGTCCCCCGAATAAGCATTAGCAATCATCCTGGCTGATCACAAATCCACTTTCAGCTTGGAAACAACAAGAATCGTTGTCTCAGATGGGGAGATGGGAAGTATTTGTTGCATACAAGGTACTCCGTATCGGAGTATATAATATCTGCAAAGAAGGTATCACAGCGCTAGGGGGCTAAGCCTGGAGGATTGCACTACTGTTGTCCGGCATGAACTGGCATGGTTGCGGCAATCAGGGTGAAATGAGCCAATCTGGACCCAATCATGGTACATGAGGTGAAGCAGCAGTCACCGGGGCTGCGGCAAGCTCTGGCTAGATTGAGACAAGCATCTGGGTTCCCCCTGGATCCAGGATCAGATGGACAAATGAGCATTGTTCGGAAGTCGGCTGGGAGATAAAGGTTGCCACGGGAGCTCATCTTGTTAATATACTTGTAGATTGGGCCTATCAACGGATTATAGAAAATGACCGCACCAAAGAGACTGTGCCTACTGTGCCAACGAGTATGATGATCATGTTGCAATACTTTCCTAAGTGACAAGCTCCATTACCTCGAAACACTTTGTTGGCTCAGAACCGTAGGCTTCTGCAGCTGGGCGAATGAAGTAGTTTAAGAAGCCAATTGACTTAACACACATGGTTCATCCGACTGCATTTCACTACCTAATCCTGAAGACTGATCATATCTCTCATCCCGCCGTCTGAGCTTCTACCTCAGTATCATTCAAGCTTTACCCTCTTGCTACCGTGCGTATTCAGAAACAGCACATACGCATTGACTACAGTCAGTCATCTTTTGATACTTTATCCTTAAGTGATCTGCGATACACTGCAAACAGCCAAATTGTTTCTTTTTGCTTATCCCGTCCAACCGCCTGACCTTGCCAGTGAAGCTTAAATTAACAATCCTAGACTTCTAGACCATCTGTTACAATGGAGGCTCTGGGGCGCAGTCCGGACCTCCGTCGCACCGGACCAGCCGATTCATCATCATCACAATCACCACCTCCAGTTCTTACCAAGGAAACAGGCCAAGAAAGTCCTACGAATACGCGCAAGTCGCAGGCAAAGACCCGATACCCGTCACTAGAGGCGGATCCGGATACGGCCGCCAAGCTGAAGCGTTTCGCGCAGCGGCAGTTCATAGCAGGCCTCGACAACTCACGCTTGGAGTGGCCGGTGAAAGAGGCAATTCCGGAGATCAGTCCAGGCCAACTTCATAAGGAGGCAGTCGAGCGGGTCCGCAACTGGTACTCGATCTGGAAGAGCCACAGTCTGAATCATGCACCGAAATGCTATGAACGCTGGGTTCTGTCCCAGCGAGAGCACGAGCGAGAGAGACTCGCACAGTGTGCAGATTTCAAGGAGCTACGTTGTGTCCTGAATGCCGCATACGATGTGGAATGGACCTCATACATCTTATCTTGGGCTACAAAAGTCGTCTCGTTCCAAGACTGCTCTGCACTGGGGCAAGAATTCCTCAAGTGTAAGTCGGCCACGTCACGCTGACTTTTGATGGCTGCGCTCATCCATATAGATTGTACCATACAGCTGATGGTCCGCGCTCACTTAACTGCTCTCCGACAAAATTCCACAAGTCCTTCCCCGGAGTTAGCCAAGTTCGACCGTCAGTACTTACTCGCGTCGTTTGACGGTCTCCACACACACGAGAAATGGAGAAACTTGACTGTGGAGGACTTCCCATTCCGATCTGTGCCAGCCTTGCGAAAGCGAGCATGCCCGAAGCGAGTCGATATGAATGCTGATAGTGATGGCGATATTGGAACCGAGGGTGAACATCCTAGGACGAAGGCATCCACACACAGTTCTCCGGCTTAGGTCCGTTAGATGTTCACTGGCCCGGCCTGCTGGTGAGCTATTTGTTCTAGTGGTGTTGAGGGCTTGAATGGCATTTCTCGAGGGGCATTTCACATAATCTGGTGTAGGCTGGCGGATACTTACTATTCTCACACTCAGGACGGATCTGGAGAAAGGCGCAGAACATAAGGCTAGATTGATCCTTTGCTGACTTCGTCTGGTAGACCACTTTCTGACAGCACCATTACTTACAGTAGTCTAACTTTTCTTTATCCACTGAGATCTTGATCTCCTTTTTGCCTCTGCTTCTGAGCCAACGAACTATGACTGAAGTCATTAGCTCCATCCCAGGGTGTACTCCATTGGATTTTGTCAATTCTTTGCAGGGAGGTTTCGTCGAGTCTGACTGTAAGAGCTCTGCTTATGCATCTACCCCGCGGAATTGGTAAGCGGGAGAGTCTCTTGCGTTCTTGGCGCATGCTAAAGTCCTTATCATTTGTAACGAGGACGTGGTTGAGCAATTCTGATTGCTAATGCATGCTACAGAGGCTTTTGAGCTCTGAACTTGGGGAAGAGAGATGAGCCAATTCCCATCCCCGTCCCCGGTTTCGAACCGGGAAACTGCACCATGGCTTTGCGAATACGGAACCTATCCATAGTAAGTGAACTTTAAGTTAATTTGAACGTCCGCATTCATCATCTCTCAGAGAGAGCCCGGAGAGCCCGCCGTATAGGCAAGCTCGTATCACCCTTTCTTTGAGTTTCCGTTGCTCATACTCGACAGGGTCTCATCCAGTGATCGCATTTGTAATGCCCCCTCACCAACCACCGCAATGACGAGATAAATACCGGTCAGATCTCGCGATCGAGCCCGCCGGTTTAATACATCAGTTTATCAGACAAACCAGACCCACTTTGAATTGATTCCCCAAAGCCAACCACCATGACCACCACCACAGCCCCAGTTGTCTTCATTCTCGGTGCCGGCCGCAACATCGGCCAGCACACAGCCCAGCACTTCGCAGCGAAGGGCTACCGAGTCGCCCTCACAGCTCGAAACGTCAACCCCGATGACAGCACCGAGACCCAGCTACATATCCAATGCGACCTCGCCGACCCCCAGGCCGTCCATGACGTCTTCTCGCGCGTGAAGACCACCCTGGGAGTTCCGAGCGTGGTCATCTACAATGGTATGTTCTCCGGTCTCCAGCCAACTTCCCCGCAATCTATACCCGAAAGCTATTAACCTTTGGTGTGGGACCAACTAGCCTACGGCTTAACCCCAACCGACGCCGACGACGTTTTCAAGATCACGACCGAGCAATTCGCCCGTGATCTGAACGTCAACACCACCAGTGTTTTTGTCGCCGCCAAGCTAGCTGTCGAGGGATTCGAGACCCTGCCTGCCTCCGCAGCACGGACGTTCCTGTACACGGGGAACGCACTGAACACGGTTGCCGTACCTCCGCTCTTCACGTTGGGGGTGGGGAAGACGGCCACCGCGCACATGATCGAGTGTGCGGCAATCGCGTACCGGGAGAAGGGATACAAGTGAGTTTTCTTGTTGTTTTCATCCTGATTTGGAATTTCTGGTACCGTGTGGACTTTCGTCACTGACCCGAGTCAAAGGTTCTACTTCGTCGACGAGCGGAGAGCGGACGGGTCATCTTCAGGCGACATCGACGGCGCGGCCCACGCGCAGCTCTTCGCGGAGCTGGCCGAGAACAAGGAGCAACAACCGTGGCAGCAGACCTTCGTCAAGGGCGAGGGGTACAAGGTGTTTGGCAAAGGGTTTCTGGGCAACTAACTGACTTGGATGGCTATCAGTTCCATTCGTAGTACCATTCTATCTCGTCCCATAATCTACATAAAAATGCAAACACACTCATCCAGCCCCCTCCAAGCTTCATCCCACGAGACTTAAAACAAAATTACCCCAAAATCTCCCCCAAATCCCTCCCCTCGCCTCCAACGACCGCCCGTCCCCGATAATCCGTCGGCACGGCCTGCGACGCAAAGGCCAGAAACACCGCCTCCCACCGCCCATCGGGGAACCGAAACACCAAGGCGCCATCCTTGAAGACGGCATCCTCGTACGCCTTCCGACTGCCCTGGTTCATATGCACGTCGTGGATGCCCGTCCCGAACGAGCTCCCGAACACATACGCCGTCGCGCGCCGGTGGATCGCCTCCTTGAGGATGGGCTCCAGCTCATCCAGCATATCGTTATCGCTGCCGGGGATGTCGTGCGGGAGGAGGCGGCCGGCCTCGATATCCACCAATCGCGGGGTGGTGCGCAGGTAGTCCAGCCCGACGAGGGTGGGGTGGTACTGCTGGTGGCGGTAGGGGAGCTCGCGCTCGTCGTCGTCGTCGGGGTCGGCGTTGTCCGGGTGCGGTTTGATGCGGTGGAAGCCCGGAGTCAGGCTGGCGAGCTCGTGGACGAGCGGGTGGTGGGTGAAGTCGCGGACGAACCAGAAGACGAGGCGCGTGTCGTGCTGGGTGGATTTCACGTTGATGGCGACTTGGACTTCGGAGTCGCTGTGATGGTGGTCGTGTTCGCGGTCGTCGTCGTCGGGGTTGGGGCTGTAGGCGCCGTCGCGTAGGAACAGGTTGATGTGGGGGGTCGTGTGGTCTTGGTGGGCGGTTTGCGCGTGGAAGCGGTGCGGGTGGCCGACCCAGACGCCGTAGTTGGGGATGGGCATTATGGCGGGATGTTCTTTGAGTGTGGCTGTTTGTTTGGGCGGTAAGCCAGAGGCTGGTGGATGGCTTGGGGGTGTTTGTATTTGAGTCTAATGCTCTACAGGGCTTCTGGAAGGGGGTAGTGGGCTGATTACTGTATTTATTTGTGGAATTGGCGATGCTTCGGGGAGTGAGGCTATTGACATGCTCGAAAAAAAGGAGAGAGTGGAGAATCGCGATGGAGCTGCTAGTGTGACACCAGGGTGGATCCGATGGGGACGATCGTCGATATCTAAAAAAGGATTGTCTAGTGGAGAAGGTCAGACCCGGAGATAGATAGCTCTCGTTTGGGAGGTCGTTTGGGAGGCTATAGATATTGGTGAGTATTGTGTATATGATGCCCAATTGCCATCGATGCTAGCGAAGCGGACAATACACCCCGACTATTCTGTCTCAGGTATAGGATGCATGTCGAACATCCTCTCGAGGGCATCTAGGTAGTTCTTTCGTAAGGCGAGGAGTCTTTGGAAGCTGACTGAGGACAGTATTGTCTGCCAGTCTGGTTGCTGGATAGCTGACAGACTCTTCGTAATCCAGAACTTCAACTTGTCTTAGAGCTACTGTGGATTGTTCTTTTTCAACTCTTCTTGTCAAAGGCAAGCAAGTATATTTCGTCCTCTACCTAACACTAACTATGTGATGGAAGTGTCAACGCTCAACCGCTCTTGCAATCGATCTCAAGATCAACTTCCGCTCTGTCTTTGCTCCCGTATCTTGTTCATCGTGTTCAAACTCCAGAGTGACCGCGTCGACTGCCTTGCATCGAAGATCGCTTAGCTCTGATCCGATCGCAATTGGCATATCACCACGGCTGACCATATTGAAGATCCACCACAAGGTCCCTCGAAGGCGATCACTCAGGTCGGGCATCCGCAGTCGTGCCCGATTGACAAAAAGATACTTGATGGGAACTTCCTGATTCAATCTCTTCAGCATTTGGTATTGATCATTTCGAAGAAAGTCGCGCAAGCCTCGCGTAGTCCTAAGCCCTTCAAGGTCTAGTTGCAAAGGCCTCGGATCATACACAAAGAGATGTTGTGGCTTGCCAGGGTCGGATGCCGTCGTATTTAATGGACCAGCCTCACGAACGGAAGCAATTGCCCACCAGTGCCAAGCTGTACCATAATGCCGGCCTTGCTTGGTAGCAAAAAGCGCTGCGTAATATGGACGAGTTTGCGTTTCGGCGAAATCGCTCACCATCATACTGGAATCACTCTCTTGAGGGGTGAGTGCCTTCTGGTGGTAGAAGTCGTCCACTACTGGTTTAGCGAGTAACTCAAAGTGGGCGCTAGTGTCACCTGGGATTCTTCCTGCAAGCTCAGTCATGGCATCGAATGCGCCTTTCAGATTTAGCCCCTGGCTTGCATTCCTCAACCAAGTAGGCAGATCATCGTAACTTAGCCCTCCATCTCGGCGGTCAATCCACCCCCAGATGTACTCGCGAGAAGGGGGATTCGATTCTGAAGGAGGAAGTTGGCCCGTCGATGCCAAAGGCCTTGCGGATACGTTCGGCAGGTCTGCTTCTTGAGGCTGTCCTAATGGGTCTCCTCTCAGGAGGACTCTTGGCGGGGAGATCCTTCTATGGAAGATCCTTTCCGGCAAGATCCTTCTCGGCAAGATATTGCTCATCCACCTAAGCCATTGGACCTGCCATTGGGCCCGCCTCTGAACCTGCCGCCTGATCTGAATCCGCCGCCGGTTCTGAGCCTGCGGCGCTTCCTGACTCAGCCTATTATCTTCAGCCTGCGTCGAACTGTCTTGTTGCGTTGAAGCGTCTGACAATATCGTCGACTGAGCTGTTGTGATCGCATCTGGGTTCGTCGAGGGGTTCGAAGGCTGCGGCGGATTCGAAGGCTGCGGTGCATTCGAAGGCTGCGGTGGGTACCCAGACTGATATGGGCCCTGAGGATTCGGTGTATTCCAAGGGTGCGGTGGGTTTCCAGACTGTAGTGGGCCCACAGGCTGTGTCCTGTCCCAACACGGCGGTGGCCTCCAATTCTGCGATGCATCGTGAGCTTGTGCTTGGTCGGTAAAGGTAGAAGAGTACCTACACTAGCCATGGCTAACAACGTGGTAACGATAGATGTAGGTTCTGTTGTGGAAGAATAAGTGTGTTTGGTGTATTAAAATGAGGTATGAGGAGACAGATGCAGGAGAGGTCAAGACCTGGAGGAGCGAGAAAAAGGCCTTAGAGCTAGAGGGAAAGCGACTGCCTACTTGGAAAGCACTCATTCATGCTGTAACTGGAAGGAAGGCAGCGAGACGTTTCAATGAGCACCTTCTCTAGCAAGGCAGGAAGGCCCCATCTTCTCTGCAAGACTGAGAGGGTTCCCATATTGGCGAATGGAGGACGCAGATGTAGAGTTTCCATCATTTGTTGAGCGCATAAGTTCAACCTCAGTTCCAGCAACCAAGATGGCAGACAATCCTGTTCTCAGCCAGGGCTCAGCCCGCCTCACATCTCTGATTCTCTACGCAGTTGCGCCTTTCATAATAAATGGACCCAGTAGGAGGAAACCTCGTAAGTATCGTAGATCGCCGGCTCCTCCGCCCTCAGCGCCGCAAACACTTCCCCCATCATCACCATCCGACTCAGGAGATACAACGCCGTTTCCTGAATGTAGATGCATTGATTTGAGCTTGTTTGTAGTGAAACAATGATATCAGCATATGTACCTATATCGAAAGAATTCATTCCTACGTGATAATTTTCATGCCATGGAGGGTTCTTGTAGCCCTTGCATGTACTTTATGCATATCTTGGTGCTATGAGAATCTTTTTTTGGAATGCGTTGGTAGCATCGGAGATGATTAGGTGCCAGGCCCCACAGCGCCAGCAAGCGTTTCCCTCCAGATGATAGAATGAAATTAAGCGCTACTGTCACACTAATGTAGGTGATGTTCCGAACTTTGCGTTGGCTAGAGTACTACTACGCGTTTTAGTGTCGGCGTAAAGTGCTGATCGGCGCCATCCTCGATCACACTCTCAGAGCCTACAACGTTACACTGTCACAATCACATTCTTCTAGTCTCTTTTTTCTAGTCTCTTCTCCTTCTTCCTCTTAAACACCACTTCGTCATGAAAATAGGTGACATCGTGCTCTTTGGCGTCAAATATGGCTCTTTCTCGGCCGCAATCGCCGTCGGACTGTATGCCGCCCTGCTAGGACTGTTGACTCGGCCTGGCTTCCAAGCGCATGTGGTTTACCTGCATGCGGTGCAGATGACCTGGTTCAAAGACCTCACGGTCCCCGAATCATTCGGGTTTCTTCACAATCAAGTCACTCCCTTCTTCATTCCCACACCAGACGGCCACCGCCTCTTCGCCTGGCACATCCTGCCTCTTTCCGTTTATCACCAGAACGAGCGTGCTCTCCTATCAGAAGATACTCCGGGCGTCATCACCAACACCACGACGCGCCACGCGTTCAACCTCCTCTCCTCCGACCCAGATGCCATCCTCGTCCTCCACTTCCACGGCGCCGGGGGAACCGTCGGGTCAGGGTATCGGGTCCCCAACTACCGAGCTCTCGCGGCCGGCTACCCGGCCAAGAACATCCACGTGCTGACCTTCGACTACCGCGGCTTCGGTCTGACGAACGGCTCCCCCTCTGAGTCTGGTCTTATCACCGATGCTCTCGCCGTCGTAGACTGGGCCCTGAACGTTGCCAACATTCCGCCGCATCGCATTCTCCTATTCGGCCAGTCCCTGGGCACCGCGGTGACCCTGGCCGTCGCCCAGCATCACGCCCGCCAGTCTCCGCCGGTGGCGTTCAAGGGAATCATACTTGTAGCTCCTTTTGTCGATGTTCCGACTTTGGTGTCAACATACCGCGTGGCCGGAACAATTCCCATTCTTAGTCCGCTCGCGCGGTTTCCGGTTCTGTTCCAGGCGCTGCAAGGGTTCATCCGCGACCAGTGGAGCAGCGGAGAACGGATTGCGGAATTCATTTACGCGAGTGAAGCGAATAGCTTGCCGTATCGGCTCACTGTCATCCACGCGGAGGATGATTATGATATTCCCTGGTGGCATGCCCGGGAATTGGTTGCGCGTGGAGTGCGTGCGTCGGGCCGAGATGGGGTGGAGGAAGCGGATGTGAAGGTGGATCTTGGCGCTTCAGGGACGATCAGGGAGTGGCGATCAAACCAAGGGGTAATACGAGAGGAGATTCTGAAGGCGGGGCTGCACGATGTGATCATGGGAGACGCGGTGGTGTCGATGGCGGTGATGCGGAGTTTGGAGGGTGTATGACGTCAATTGTCGTCGCTTTGCTAGAAGGTAGTATCGTACCATATTTCTTACTAGATCGGATTTTCAAGCCAACCCACCACAACATTGGCTCTGAGTGCCTCCAAGAAATATCAACTTAGATGAATCTGCAGTAAGTAATACTTGTCGATCAACCTGGGGCCGAGGTCAGCCCTAAGATAACCCCAGCAACAACCGAAGCGCTCATCATTTCGTCAAAGGGACCCATCCGCATGCGACCCATGGTTCACAGCACTGTCAGGGTACAGTGACAACCACCACCATCCTGACATCACTCCTGCATACCCTGTATCAGCGCGCCACCGCTCAAAAGACCTGCTTGCTGCTCGCATGTCCTCTGCGCAAATTCAGTCGTTTTCATTCACCACAACCCGCCTCTGCATCCGGAGATCATCCTCACCATGCGCCTTCCGTTGGAGACACCAGATGCCACGCACTCCGAAATCCACGCCTACATCCTCGGCGCAGGAATCACCTCTCTTTCCGCCGCCGTCCACCTCTTACAAGAAGGTCACCTCCCGGCCTCGCACATCCACATCCTCGAGACCCTCGACCAAGCGGGCGGCGGGACCGTCAGCTCCGGCAATGCAGAGGAAGGATATCACTACCGGGCGGGGGGGATGCCATTTCTGAACGGGGATGCGATGGCGACGTTGTTCGCTGAGGTTCCATCCGATGTAAATCCGGGGAAGAGCGTTTTGGATGACCTATACGAGTACTGGGGTCTACCGGTGGCTACAGCAGGTCAGCATCATCATCAGCAGCGTGGTGGGCTAGGAGAGGAGCAAGCACAACATCCCCACCAGCAGCAACAATCTCAGTGCCACCAGACGCGGCTCATCCGACGGTCGAAGCACGGCCTCGTCCGGATCGACTGCAAACACAGTACAAGTCTTGGGCTGCGGGATCGGGTGGAAGTGTTTCGGTTCATGAATAAAAGTGAGGTCACGTTGGGGAGATCGCGCATTCGGGATCACTTTGGGAAGGGGTTCTTTGGTGGATCTTACTGGGGGGTGTTGAGTACCACGTATGTGTATCCCCACCCTTGACGATGCGGGGTTTTGGGCATGTTTATGCGCTGTTGAGTCTTTCTGCTCGTGCATGAGCAACGCTGACACATAGCCATCAGATTCGGCTTCAAACCCTGCCACAGCGCCGCCGAGTTCCACCGCGCCCTGCACAAATTCGGACACGACATCGCGAGCGTCACCAGCTCGCACCCCCGTCCCCTGGACGGCGGCCAATACAACCGCCACGAGTCGCTCGTCGCTCCGATCGCCCGCTTCCTCCGCCGCCAAGGGGTCGACTTCCAATTCCAGACCACCGTCACGGACATCATCTTCGCCGACGACGACGCCGCCGCCGGCCCAGAACCTCTATCAGCCGCCGCCTCCAATTCGGGGTCTGCGTCAGCCAGCGTTCACACGACCCCAAGCACCCGCCAGCGCAAGCGCAGCAGCCGCCATAACTCTAACGAAAACACCCAAAAGGCCGAGCAGCAGCACCTCCCACCGTCCACCGAACCGCCCTACCCACCGCGCCTCGTCTCCGCCATCATCGCCCACCCCCTCAACGGACCGGAGCAGACCATCCCCGTCCAACCGCACGACATCGTCCTCGTCTCCCTGGGCAGCGCCATGTCTGGCTCCAGCCTCGGCAGCAACACGACCGCCCCGCCACTCTACCAAATGGAAGCCGATCACGAGCTCGACGAGAACTGGCTACTGTGGCTCGAGCTGACGACCAAGGACCCGCGTCGCTTAGGGAATGCGTATAACTTCTGCACGCGCCTCGAGGAATCCCGCCTCGAGTCCTTCACGATCACCCTCCGCGCCGCCGGCGGGAATCGCATCCGCGAACGCATCACCGGTACAAACAACAATTCCGCCACTGAATCATCATCATCGCCGATGTTCATCTCCCTGATCGACGCCCCCTGGGTAGTCAGTCTACACGTCCCGCCGCAGCCGGTCTTCCCGGACCAGCCGGCCGAGGTCCAGGTCCTCTGGGGGTACGCGTTGTACCCCGAGCGGACCGGGGAGGTGGTGCGCAAGCCGATGCTGGAGTGCACGGGGGAGGAGATCCTGCGGGAGGTGCTGGCGCAGTTGGAGGTCAAGGAGACCGAGGCCGACCGGATCCTGCAGGGGGCTATCACCGTCCCCTGCGTCGTGCCGCGCATGGCGGCGGGCTTGCTGCCGCGGGGCGAGGGCAACCGCCCGCGCGTGATCCCCCCCGCGATCCGGAATTTGGGGCTGATTGGCCAGTTTGTGGAGATTGAGGGGGAGACGGGGGTAACGGCCATGGAGTATAGTGTGCTTGGGGCGCAGATGGCGGTGCGGAAGTTGGTGGGCAGGGTTTCTGCGGTACTTGGGGAGGGGGAGGGGGAGAGGAAGGCTGTGCCAGGGGGGGATAAGGAGCAGCAGCAGCAGCACAAAGCCAAAGAGTCGAGGAAACGGTCTTGGTTGCCGTTGCCTTGTAGTTAGCCTGGGAGTATGTAGGCTATGCTGAACGAGGATGATCTTTTGTGGAAATGGGGTAATAAAATGGTGGATACTACAGTGTCGACATACCCAGTTGTACAGTAGAGTACAGTATCAAAATGAGTCTCGAATGAAAATCAAATTGGATATCAAACACACCCTTCCCCAAAACTCAAGAACCAACTTTTTCCTCCCAAAGACATACACCTTCTAGCTTTCCCCCCCCCTCCCCCCAAAAACTAACGCTTCCTCACCCACTCACACTCCTCCAACCACCCCTCCAAATTCTTCAACCCGGGATACAACTTCCGCAACCGCGGGATATCCGCCCCGTACCCTTGCTCATAGAACCACGTGAACATCGTCCGGGGATCGCCCATCACCCACAGCACCAGATAGCACAGCACGCGGTACGTGGTCGGCAGCGGGCGGCCGCCCGTCTTCGCGCGCACCGTCCGCTGCAGATGCTCGTAGGTCAGATCGTCGCCCGCCAGCGACAGGCACTGGTTCCGGAAGGGGGCCGCCGCCGCGCCCGCCCGCACCAGCGCCATCGCCGCGAAGTGGCCCACGTCCGCCACGGAGACGCACTGCAGCGGTTTCCCCTGCAGGTAGGCGTCCCACGCCGTCGCGGCGATCTTGCCGGTGAAGCCCGTGGTCGGGCTGAGGTTCTCGAAGAAGAAGGTCGGGCGGAGGACTGTCCAGGACATGGGGGTGGTGCTGTTGCTGTCGCTGGCGCCACCTGTGCCACCGGCTTCGGCTGCGCGGGTCCGCGTGAACAGGTGCTGCTCGATCCGGTGCTTGCTGATGAAGTGCGGGATGCTGGTCGGGTTGTCGCTGGAGGCGTCGCCGCCCCGGTCGACGGAGCTGTACACAAAGTGCGGGATTTGGTGCGCCAGGGCCGCGTCGATGAGGGCTTTGCCTTGGTGTTCTTCTTTTTGCACGCTTTGGCCGGCGGCGAAGGGGTTCTATACATTTTTTCTTGTGTGTAAATATACAGTACTGGACATTTAGTGTGTTGTCTTGGATGTAGTGACAGTTGTTGACAGTTGTTGGGGTGTGGGGAATCCGGGGGACAGGGGGAAATGCTGAGAAGTTGAGGGCCGGTCTACCTGAACGCTAAAGACGCCGGAAATCGGCAACGTCGCGGCTTTCTTTGCATTTTCGAAGATCTGCGCCGGGTGGTCGAGGTCCCCCTGGATGAGCTTGATCTTGGGGGATTTCTGGGTGAGGCGGCGGGCGGCGCTGGAGTGTGGGTTGCGGGTCACGGCGAGGATCTCCACATCGAGTTCCTGGGCGAGGAGGGCGTTGATCACGGCGCTGCCTTGGTTGCCGGTGGCTCCTGTGATGAGGAGTGCGAGGGGCATGGTTGGGAGTGTGGAGTATGACTCTTAAGAGGCTGTGGTGGTGAAAGTGAAAGTGAAAGTGAAAGTGAAAGTGAAAGTGAACGTGGAAAGATGGAAGAGAATATTCCAGTCCATGTGGAGAAATAAGGCATAAGGTATGAAAGTGGAGAGAAAGGCTAGAACATTTTTTTCGAAGCTGGAGTCGATCAACCTTGCGCATTGATGGTCCATTACCGGATCCGTCAGTCACCGTGACCTCATTTTGCGGGGGAGAATGAGAAGGCGGGGGGGTGACTGCTTAGTCAAAGGTTCAACACCTCAGGCATTGCCTGGCACTGGCAGCCCTGTGGAGCCTGGAGGGCATGCTTGGTTTCCTCTTTGGGAAGTAAGTAGTAAGTACAGGTAAGTAAGCACCGTGGAACCCGTGACTGAGTGCTCCTTGTGTCGGCATCCTCTCTATCTTCCCTATTAATCAATTTACTATTGTGCACCGCCTCGAGTACGTACAATGGCTTAATGTGCCTCAACTCCAGCCAACCAGGAGCAAACCAGACCAGCCACAACCCCTCCTCATCTCGAGTGCTATTTCGAGACCACGCACTTGTTATCGCTACCGCAGTCAACATGCATTAGTCGACCAGGGAGGAGCACCGGCGCTGGCTCCGTCACTCTTAGCCTCCGGCTACATGACTAGCATTTCAAGCTATCAGGCGAAACACCCCTGGCGGCCCGTTGTCTAGAAACCTGCAGGGGTGGTTCACGCTCAGCCCCATCGTCACTGAACAGCCACACAACCTTGGGGAGGATGAGGGGGTGCTCCGGGTGCCAGAAGTCGCTGAATCATGGATTCAACGAATATATAAGCTCGTCATTGTGTTGTGTCGTGGGTCGGTATCTCAACTCTCACCAGCACTAACAGCAACACCAAACAGCAATTCCCCACTAGAGATGTCTCGGTATCCAGCAAAGTCGGATCATCTTTCCGATATCCTGGATCTTCATCCCGATACAGAAAGATGGTGTGCGGGGTATGCGCCCTCACAAGGTCGACGCTGTCACAACCCCATAAATGCCGCAAACCGAATTTCGGCCGTGCATCTACTCGATGAAGGCAGTCGAAGAATGAAAAGGGGCGAAGACCTCAGCGACCTCCTGATGGATCTGGCGTCGCTTGTTCTCTGTCGTCATGTTCATCAGAAAGGTCAGCGGAGTCAGGTCCCTGGGCTTGTCAAGAAGTGGCAGGGTCAAATCCTGGGTGTCACTGAGAATATAGATAACGTGGAAACTATTTATGGTGGACGGGAGGTGAAGCATGTGGACATTCGCAGAGAGACAAATGAACTTGAGACATCGAGGAGAGTGGACAGATTCTCATTGTCTTCAAGACTTCAGCCTAGCCGCCATGAGAACCTGCCCCTCCAAGTTGATGTGGATGCTTCAAGATCCAGCAAGCTCGAGGTCGATCGGCGGGCTCGGCCGTCTGGCTCAAATGACGGTCATTCTCGTAGGGCAAGGGTGTCATCGGCCGGAGTGTCTGGCGCTATCACCACAACCTCTTCACAGCGTGCAGCGTCAATCACTGAACAGCCTGGGCCATTCACTGCTCCTGCACCGACCCTTCGTGCTTCTACTCCATCCTCACCTTCAAGCTCTTCCCCATCAAGGCCTTCAAGGCCATCACCTCTGACTCTTTCAACTTCGAACTCTTCACCTACTACTTCCGCCCCGATGGTCAATCCTCGTGCTACTATCGCTCCAGCTTCTAGCTCTCGCGCTTCGGTGACTACATCGATGTCAACTTCTACCTCGACTTCTACGTCCACTTCAACTTCCATCACCTCGCCTACAAGCGCCAGATCAAGTCCAAGTCGTGCCACCACCTCTATCGCTGGACCTATCGAAACGGCTTCTTCTCGCGTGTCAGTTCCTTCAACGCGGGGCTCGGTTCCGGAATATCGCCGTAGCACTCACCGTAGCGCTCATGCTTCACGCTCGGACACCACCTCTATCTCTACGGCTTCTTCTCGCCTGCCAGTTCCTTCACGCTCGGACACCACCTCCACTACCACTACTATCACCATCACAAGCGTTACCTTGAGCAGGACTATCACACCATCGAACTCCAGCTCCGCAAGTACTGCTGCCCCCACAACTTCCGCCTCGTCTCCAAGAGTTCCTGTGAACAATGTTGAGCCAGAGGCCTCAGCTTCAGATCCTACAAGTGCTGCTGCGCGTCCCAGAGCAGCCTCGATTACTGCTTCTTCAACCTCAGTTCCTACTGCTTTAGCCTCTACAACGACCGCTAGGATGACTTCTGAAGCCTCTTCTACGTCTGATCCTACATATGCCCCCACAGCTACTCCTACAGTCCCAATCCAAACAGCAAACCCAACCGCAAACGCCACTCCCGAACCAACCACAACCACATCTCAACCTGAAACCTCATCATCTGCCGTCGCCTTACAACCTCCCCACTCTTCCTCCTCAACATTCCCATCAACGCCAACCGTCTTATCCCCTCCTCCATTCGTTCCAAACACCACCTACACTCCGACCCGCCAACCCATCACAGGTGACTGCTCCATCTGCTACGAGCCCCTCCTTCCCGACTCTCCTTTCACGACCCCCCGTCAGGCAGCTCGAGACCTCTCTATTGTCTACTGCAAGCAGCAGTGTGGCACGAACTTCCACTTCAGCTGCCTGTTCACGTGGAAGAAGTCGGCGTCACAGATGAACCGGGAGCCGACTTGTCCTATGTGTCGCGCCGCCTGGCCCTGATCCTCTCCCACCAAACAGTACTTGGGTAAATGCAATATTTGGTTTTGTTTATGAATTTGACTGGATTTCACGATTACGGAGTATGGTCTAGGGTGTTTACCTGGTATTTGGTCTTGAATGAAGGGTTCATTGACCACTAATTGTTATTATGGTTATGGTTACGAGCACGAATGGATGAACTAATGCCTGTTGAATACTTCTTTCCAGCGGTGGGTACAAGTATAGGATCCATTCCGTAAGCTCTATCCATTGCAATTCGCCTAATTTGCATTACCTGTGACCAGCGCAGGTTAATTTGAGCCTCAGGCAGTTATTACTTTGGAAGAGATAGGCCCAGTACCAGTCGTACACTTACATAGATCTGAGATAAAAGCCTAGTCCTACTAGTCCTACAAGAGAATACGTTCTAAAAAGCTTGTTAAAAAAAAAAAAAAGAAAAAAACTCTAACATTCTGAAAATACAATGTAAAATAATGGCTAACACAGCTAGACAAAATTCCAATCTCTCAAAGCGGAATATTCAAAACTTCAAGACTTCAGAAGGAAACGTCATCAATCATCAGTGTCAAAGGTGCGTGCGTGTATCCAACATCACCATCACACACATACTTACTCATCAACCCTAGCCCCCAACCAGGTAGCCCCTAGCCCCGCCCCAGTGGAGTAGAGCAGTGGGTTGTTGGGCTCAATTCTTCGACAGTAAAGACCTTGTAAAGAACTTCCCGTTCCAGTAATCCTGCGAGTAACTCCCATCTGCCTTCGCGGGGAAAGCGGCAGCGGGCTTCCTCTGGTCCACATCCATCGGGTACCCGGCCAGCGCGGAGGGGCTGATCGTCTCCCCGGGAGGGGGGCTATACGGGGCCCGTTCGAGGATGGTGGTTTGCACGACGGGAGGAGTGGCGGGGGGGTGGACGGGGCGTGGCTCTAGCCCCGTGCTGTTCGGGGACGCCGCTGCGGAGTGCTCCTGCTCCTGCTCCTGCAGCCTCTGGAGCTGCTGCTGGAGGGCCTGCTGTTGCTGCAGATTCTGGAACTCTTGCTCTTGCAGCTGGTGCATGATTGCGTGATGATGCTGCTGCTGCTGCTGCTGGATCGATTCCTGGACGCGCCAGTGATGCGCCGTGGTGGCGGCTGACTCCGGCTGCGCCCATCGCGGCTGCTGTTGCTGCTGCTGGTGGTTGCTGTTGTAGATGCGGCGAACGCGCATGGGGCTGTTTTTGCGTCGGGCTTGGTACGCTCTGCCGCCACCCCCTCCGCGACGGGCGGGCCGGCGCCGCTCGTGGCGGGCGACGCGGTTGTTGTTCTCGCGGTAGCCGGTGAAGGATGGCCCCGTGAAGGTTTGGGGGGGCTGTTGGGGCCGGAAACCCGCGGCCTGGGGCTGGGGCTGGGGCTGGGGCTGGGGTTGGGGAGGGAAGCTCCCGTACAGAGGTTGTGGGTATTGGGGTGCTGTTGGGGTGATGGGGTGGTAGGTGGGCGGCAGCAGGCCGGGGTTTAGAGCCTGGCCGTGCATCACCATCCCCGGGGCGGGTGGGAAGTAGGGTTTGAAGCCTGTCTGAGGGTAATCTTCGAGCCGGGCGGTGATTTTAAGTGAAGGCACTCCTCCGGGGTTCTCGAATGTGGGTTGGATGGTGATTCCGCTGCTGGGATGTTGGTAGCCAGGCTGAGGATTACCGTTCCAGTCCGGGCTGAGCCCCGTCATCGTCCCTTGGGGTCTGTTGTAGAAGGCCCGGGGTGCCGTGGGAATGCTCTGTCCCTGCGGACTAGCCGGCACTGGGGTCGGAGCTGGGGCGGTGATACCAGAGCTGGAGCCGGTTCCAGTCACAGCAGGGTAGAGCCGGCTCTCCTTGGGAGGGATGAAGCCGGTCCCTGCGAATCCATCCGATGCGAAAAAGTCAACCGGAGAGGCCGCCTTCTGGCGCGAAAGGTCTTCCCCGAAGCCCGGCGACGGAGTCACAGTAGGGACCCGATCCATAGCAGGCGCTCTCAGATTGGCCTGGTCCAGGGCTGGTAGCTTTCTTTTGACAAAATCTCGCCCGACGTTAGATTGATTCAACGCCTCGAGCTTGTCATCGGCGAGCCGCTCGTTCTCGCCCCGGAAGACAGATTCGAAGAGGGCTTCAGTCGACGACTTCGTCTGGCTGAAGAAGCCTGGGTAGCTCGAGTTACTGGAACCACTGGTAGTAGGTCTGGAACTGTCGAGCAGGAGCGGCTGGGCCAGCAGCGACTCGTCCGACAGCTGCGATATGACAATGCAATCGTCCTCGTCATCCTCGTCCATGGTGCTGCTACTCTCGCTGCTGCTGTAGCAGTCGAAGCCCGGCTCGACATCGGGGTGGTATCCGTCGTCGCTGTCTTCGCTAAGAGACGTGCGCGCCGAGTGGAAACTTCGGAAAGAGCCCGACTGGGTGGATCTCTGGCTGCTGCTTGCTGGCTTTGAGGATGCGGTCTCCGCGAGACTGATCGCTTCCACGGATGGAACGCCGGTGGAGAGACCGGAGGAGCTGGCAGCCGAAGCGCGCGCCACGTACTCATCCACATATTCCTTGAGAAGCGGGATAGCCTGCACTTGGGGGTGAATGGCGCAGGAGCCAGAGGGTCGCTGATCAGCAGCGCCAGCCTCAGCGCACTCCGCACACATCCCCCAGAGGTCTCCCTTCACGGGATCGTATGAGTTCTGGAATTCGTGGCCGGTGCAATCGCCAGCGCGCAAGCCATTGACCATCTCCTGGCAGATGTCAATGCTGCAGCATGCGATGTGCTTGCAGACCTGGTAGTGGGAATACTTGTGGAAACACATGGTGACTAGCACTGACTGTTGTGTCGACACAAGATGATTTTGAGAGCGTTGTGTGTTGTAGAGGTCGAAGCTGTGAGGTTGGATCGAAGCTGTGAGGTTAGATCGTCACAAATGCGCAAAGATGTCAGATTTCACTTTCCAGCAATTTCCAACAGACTTGGGAGTTGTAGAAAAATGAACATCACGGCTTCACAGCGAGCATACGCCCGTTATTTATATCGCATGAGTTGTGGTGGAAAGTCGCAGCAGGTAGACAATGCGATTCTCTCTTTCACAGAGCATCTTTTTGTCAAAGAAAGGCATTCTGAAAATCCCCATCAACCACCTAGGCCTCCCTTCTTTATGCGCTTTCCAAAGAGGGAACAAGGAAGGGGGGGGTGGAGGTTCACAATGGGGTGGGTGTATGTGAAAGGGGAAGCATAAAGAAAAAAGAAATGTCCCTCCTCAAGCCCGCCCGCCCCCGTCTGTCACTCCTCATCCATTGACAGGTCGATCAGGTATCGCACCCCAGAGTCCAGCAGCCACCAGGAGGCCAGCTCATGAAAAAACCGCCAGACGGGATTCCTCAAAGGCATTTTCTCCTGCAGCGACGATCCGTCCGCCTTGGTGATCCACAGCACACACTCACTGGCGAAGACCACCTCCTTGGCTTCGTCCCAGAACCGCAGCAGCAGCCGGCCCTCGACCTCCCCGCCGTGGGGGGAGCAGATCTCGAACTCCACGCTGGTCGGGCGACGCTCGGCCACGCGGTAGATGCCGCAGATGATGTCACCGCGCTGGAAGTCCAGGCGGCGGATGCGGGACGGCTTGAAGGTCGCGCGGGATCCCGAGCCGCTGAGGATCCAGAGCATATAGGCTTGGGGGAAGTAGGCGAAGGCAGACATGTTGCGGCGGAGGAAGATGTTAAGGAGGTCGGAGGGTTGGTGGGTCGTGGGGAGGAGCTGGCGCGGAACGCGACGAGTGACCTTCTCGTACAGACAGTCGTGAGTAGACTTGAAGATGTCGGACGGGATCGTGGTCATGGAGTTGAGGGTCGAAGGAGAGTTCGAAAGATTAGACAGCTTGCCTCGAAAGTGCTCATGCTCTAGGCCATTTCTGAGAGATCGATGGAGCAGGTACAAGTAGGCGAATGTGCTTGTCGACACGGCGAGAATCCAGGTTGTGAGCGACATTTTGACCACGCTTCCACTCCACTCATTGCTCACGCATCTTCAATTCGAATGGTGAGTTGAGCTGAGGCTCAAGCTCATATTTAAATGGTTTGGTTCAAGGGTGGGGATTCTGATAATAAGGCTGAGCTGGGCTGAGGGAATGCAGTGGGAGAGAATGGGCCCCAAGCGAGTACGAGTTCCAGATTTGGTGCTGGCACGAATCAATCTGGCACCGCATGCAGACTTGAGTTTCATCTGATCCATCATCGGCCTGTCCGATTTTCATGTAGCTGCTGCTTAGACTTTCATCCCGCCGTCGCAGTCCAAACAGTGCCTTACGAGGTGAAAGAAGTGGCTACTCTTGCGGCTCCTTCTACAGATATTGTGGCTATACTCAGACACAGCCGATTTCACAGCCTATTTCCCCCTTTGCGTTTGATCACGTTTCATCCATTAGTTAGATCATATATCTCCTTGACACGTACTCCGTATACTTTAGATCATTCTCCTGCCCACATAAAATAGAAGAAGAAAAGTCGCTTGCACGTCATCGCCCATCTAATCACTCCTCCATTCAACCCTTCCCTCCATGAATCCATCACTCGACGACACAGCCTCCCCTATCCCCTGACTAACCACCAACACAACAAAGCGGGTATCCTTGGTGGATAACTCAACAGCAAGCAGTGATAGAAATTAGAGAAATAATATAGTAGAAAGAACGGCCTTGGAAGAAAGGTACTGCAGTCACGGTCCTCCATCGCTTAGACCCATTGGTGACGCCACGGTCGGATCGAGGAGGCTTCACGCGACATCGTAGGATTGCTTCTCTGCTTTCCGTTTCATCCATCGGCGGTAGATTAACAGGGCGATGATTCCGACGGCGACAATGAAGACGATACAGAAGACCAGAACCACACCGGGGTTTCTGCTGGCCCAATTGCTTCGCTTGATGAGCTGGTGGTGTCGTTGTGCAGCGGTGGACACGAGGGCGTCGATGGCAGCCATTGTCTGTCAGGATTAGCACTCGGTTGATGTTCGTGTATACCTTTGAGGCAGATACTCACGTCGTACGGGGAAATAGGAACGGGGATCACGACAGACAGACGATACAGACCGCAGCTCTCCAACAGATCACCACAGCACGGCAGGGCAGGAGCAGGTGAGGATTCGCGAAGGGATGGAGAGCGACAAGAAAAGAACCTAGGAAGTCTGACCCGTTGGCAGACTTGACTTGCGCACCATCGGGAGCAGCGGAAAGAAAGTCATGACTCCAAGATCGCAATGACGTGGTGGAGAGCACATGCATGCAACGTTGGACGGGTTTGGCGTCTGGCAGCCGGGGATAACCCACGAAGCTTATTTTGGGTCTGACAGGAGCAGGGAGGGGAGGTGTAAGGGTCATATACTCCCCCGATCCGGGTAGTAGTAATGGATGAGGAGGTATCATTCGATCGAATGGGCACGGCAGCCTGTAGTGTCAAAAATCCTCGCGTGCGTGACGAGTGTAGCCCCGGCTGTCGCTCCTGCTGTCTCGGTGAGATGTCTCACTCTTGAGAGCTGTAGATTTGCATTGTATCATATTGGAGATGTGTTGAGACACCTTAGAATGAGTTCAAGAGACGATTCCCGAGTGCTGACATCAAGCGATGTGGAGAGTATGGAAGATCCGCTCATCCCGTTGGCGTCACCACTCCTGCATTTCCGTGGTTCCATTCCCTGTCCCGTTGTGCTTCCGATTCGTGCCCATCTGTGGTGAAGAGTGAACGATGAAGACGATAATCTGGTGATTGGATGGGGTTGGTTGAGCATACTAGCTACTAGGTAGAGAGGGGGTGTGTCATCCACTCCACGGTCGCATTTCGATCAGTCAACATCCTAGTATGCGCAAGTCAGCAGACCATGAGATGCGTTGACCAACAATTTCATCTGAGCTCTCAGCCTTGAGATCGTCTTTGAGTAGAGGCATTGGCTTTAATATAGATGAAATCCAATACTAGACACCAATAAACACAATTGCACAAGAAGAAAGGACTAAGCAACTACGGGAGACCGACCGACCGACCGACCATAAACCCACCCCACCCAACCTACAACCCCGCAACAGCAGCCGGCAACCCCTCCATCCCTTCCAGAAACGCATCAAACTCGCCCTTCACCATCTCCATATCCTCATCCACATCATCCGTCCACCGATGCACGTAGACCGTCCGCATGCCCACCTTCTGCGCGCCCCTCAAATCATACGCATGCGCCGCGACCAACACCACCTCCTCGGGCCGCAGCTGCACCAGCTCCAATCCCCGTCGATACGCCTCCGCCCGCGGCTTGTAGACCCCCAGCAACTGGCTGGAGAAGAGCATGTCGAAGCGCAACCCGGACGAGCGCGTCAGATCCAGCTGGAGCCGCGTGGTGCCGTTGGCGTGCACGAAGACCTCGAGGCCAAGTTCGTCGCGGAGCCGCTGGATCGCCGTCGACACCTCGGGCCACGCGGGCTGGCGGTGCCAGGCTTGGACTAACTGGGTTGTCGTGTCCGGGTCTGATAATTCTTCGAGGTGGGCCTTGTAGTCCGGGCTGCTGCTGCTGCTGCGGTCGAGAGCGACACCAAGCGCCCGGCGGAGGGTCAGGTCGATGTCCTCGGGCGCTAGGTGGTCGCGCACGCGCTGCTCGTTTTCGAGGAAGTATTGCCGGCGCCAGTCGAGGGCGAGCTGCGAGGCGGCGGGCGCGGGGATGGAGGCCGGCATTGCCTGGACGACGCTGCTGTGCCAGTCGAGACAGGTGCCCATGAAGTCGAAGAAGACGGCTTTGATCTTGGTGGGTGCGGTCATGGTGGGCGGTGGCTTGGTATGCTATGTTAGTTGTCTTGGAGTGCGTTCAGTATGTTAAGAGCTGCGTTCGAGAGATTCGGTATGCCCTTCGAAGCTATCATCTAAGCCTTACAAGGCACTCGGTGAGTGGGTGAGTATTTAAGAGCATGACGCATTTATAATCAACAAGGGGGGGTGTTGTCGAAGTTGCCGCTAGTCTGTTAATTTAGATTATGGCGGCAGTGCTTGATGTTGCGAACCGCTCAGACCATGGGGGGAGCCAATGATTGCCCATCGTCAGCACGCCATGGGCTGCAGGATCCTTGGACGCTGGGGGATCTCAGCCTGAGGCTCAGAGCCACATATCGTGAAGGAGGCATTACTTCGATCTGCAGGTCACCGAACTGTTCCTTGGAGCGATCATCTTTCTTCGGCAAGAAGTTGATTTTCATGTCAGGGCAATAAGTTATACAAAGGGCAGCACAATCGTCGCAGGGAACAAGCAAGCAGGCCGGAAACAACATGGCCTCGCTTCTGTGAGCATTTCTCGGGGTATATCAACATTCAGGCACACCAAAACAAGCAATAATCATCCCCAAACATAAACCACTCCATCGTCAATCTTAGCGCACTCAGTTGTGTTGATGCACGTCCGTTCGTCCGCTGTTGTGCCAGGTCGCCAGCAATGCACCACATTTTCCACAGTAGTGGTGCACATCCTTGAGCGACGACATCAGATAGGGAATGCAGCCCAAGCAGCAGCAGATGCAAGTCACTGCGGCCCATGCACTGCGGAAGGTTAGTATATACCCCCGTGCTACTTCCACCATGGCATCTTACTGTGTAGTATTGCCCGCCTCCGCTACCACTCGCGTCATCTCACGGCTGCCGCAACTTGGACAGTCCACGGGCGCTGGGCCACGTTGAAGCGCATGTAGGGGTGTCGCATTATTGTAACCGCTCGTGTGGTGTGTCTGCGTCCCCGCGTAGAAGTTCTGCGACGAGGGCTCGTGGGGCTGAGGTGGAGGAGTGATCGTTTCCATCGGGGGCTGCGCATATGCTGGAGGTGGATGGTTGATGCTCGGTTGGTTGGTCTCTTGCAAGTTCTCGTATGTGGGAACTGGAGCTGAAGCTGAAGCTGTTAGCTGGGCTGAATCCAAAGGCTAGGTGGACATACCAGGGGTGGCTTTCTCGGCCATGTTGGAGGGGATGATTGAGCTCGGACTTTGATGCTTTCACCACTGAGAACAGATTGGACTCGCTCGAGTTCGACGATAGAGAATGTGCTAGAGAGTATTAGAAAAACATCGCTCGAGAACGAGCCTGCTCCCGTTGTTCTTCTGTCCATTCTTATACTCTGGTCCAACGCTGGGTGCGAGGTCCAGGCAGAGCATTTGTGGTAAGCCAACAGCAGCTTGGAATGATCTTCGTGGAACAGTGGGCGCAGTGCTGGGCTTGTTGGTCCAAGCCATCAGACGTCGTGTAAGGCATCGAGACTTGCTTCCATTGGCAGACGTATGATACCGACAAGTTCATTGGATGCGATACGAGGCTCCGCGCTGCATTGACCAGGGGAATTGGCGACGGCAGCGAGATGCTTCGCTATTGGGTGCCATGCGTGTGTCAGCCTTGCGTGTTTGCGTCGGATGCTAATTACAACATACGAACAGACTTTGCCAATGATGGTCGATGTACTCCGTAGATCTGGACGGAGATTTCGTATCACTTGCGGAGTCGTCTGACATGTCGATTGCCCTTTGTTTGGGAGGAGCGGATGCTTTGCCGACACCACAATTGACAGGACAGCCCCATTCAAAGACAAGACTGTAGACCTTGGTTATTATGCGAAGGGGTTATGTTCGTGTTGGATGATATGAAGCCATTCTACGAAGGAACAACTCCATGGTCTGGTACAGACATACGAACCTGCCTCTTCTGCGCTTGTGGGGGTCCATTTACCAGCATCAGGACTGATAAGCCCCTTATCCTGCTGTGCGAGAGCCCAGCAGGAAAAAACAAAAAAGAAATGAATTGATGCGTCAGCGGGGAGTCGAACCCCGATCTATTGCTTGGAAGGCAACAATGCTAACCGCTACACCACTAACGCTCTTGCTTGAAAGGTGAACAGACTAGCCAGCCTAAGAAAGCAAAGACGCAATCTCATATGTCACAACGTCCGCCTCGATGTTGAGCTTCTATAACAACATATTTGTGTTGAAGCCTCTGAGTCGACTCCAATTTACCTTTGAAAGAACAAAGATAGCTCATTATTTGCCAATTGAACTATTATGGTGTCTTTTTTCGATCGTGTCACGGCTCCAGGGAATGTCTCTTACACTGCCATTATATATTCATCCGCAGCCGATTGTCAATGATACGCGAGACCAACGCTACCACAGTGGCTACACAATCAAGACCCATACACCCCCCAATCAAGGATTAGTACCTCCCCGCGGACCCCAGCATATCAATACACCGCTCGACGGCCTTCTGCATCTCCGCGGTAGCCTCCTCAATAACCGCCGTCAAGGGCGCCCTGCCAGCTTTCTCCGCCTGCACGCGCACGTACTCATTATTCAACACCTTATTGATATTCACCTTACTGACCCCGCAACCGATGCACCTCCGAAAGATCTCCTCGGTGAACGGATCGGCGCCATGCAGCACCAGCCGCGTGCCGTGGGGCTCCACCGTCTCCTGGATCCTCTGGAGGCGATCGTACTCCAGCACGATGCCGCGGGGCCCATAGCTGCCGTGCACGTTGCCGAACGCGGGCGCCAGCCAATCGATGCCCGTGGCCACGAACTCCAGACTCTCCTCGGGGGTCGTCAGCAGGCCCTCCAGGTCCGCCGTGTCGGAGACCCCATCCTCGCCGCCCTCGATGCGGCCCGGCTCGGCCTCCGTGGCGATGCCCCGCGCGTGGCAGTACGCCACCAGCTCGCGCGTCAGCGAAAGGTTCTCCGCCCTCGAGTAGTGCGACATGTCGATCATGATGCTGTCGAACCCGCCCATGTCGGCCGCCCGGCGGATGATCGCCGGCGACTGCGCGTGGTCCAGGTGCACCGTGACGGGGACGGAGGCGCCCCGCGCCGCTTCGGCCGCCGCGTGCACGAGGATCGCCCCCGCGTAGTCGATGGCCCAGGGGAAGAGCAGGATCATGGCCGGCGAGCGCTTCGCTTCCGCGGCGCGCACGGTCGCCAGGATGCCTTCCACGTTGTAGCAGCACATTGCCGGGATGCCGTAGTGGTTGGCGGCGGCGTGGTCGAGGAGGGGGATGGCGCGGTTTTCGGTGAGAGGAGGCATTTTGGAATCAGGTTGAGGAGAGGGGGGATTGGATGGAGTTGGGGGTGTTGATGGGTGGGGGTGAGCTGTGTTTGAGTGGTGTTGTCATGCTTTATAGGGAGGGGAAGCGAGGCATATGGGATGACTGTCGGAGTATACTTCACCTTTTCTCTCTGTTTACCATCTGATTACCCCCGCGGAGGGGGCTCCGAGGCCGGAGTTGCTCCGATCTGATGTCATTTGTTCACTGCGAGGACAGACTGTCATAGATGGTAATATTGGATGCAGGAACTGATATCTTACCTCCAATTACCACTCATACTTTACCACCAAGGAAGATGAGATCCAAGAAATCTATCCAAATAGAGACAAAGGTTGGTGTGTCTGGCTCTTGACTAACTACCTAATCAGTAATCACAACTTCCCCCTCGAGCCTCCGCCCTCATACAAACCCACGACACTGGTACTACTCGACCCCCCCAGCCCAGCCCTCTTAGCCATCAACAAGACCCCCAACGCCGCATTCCCCAAATGCAACGGACAATGCAAGTCCCTGGCCCTCTGAGCCACCCTCTCCAACCGCTGCGCGAGCGCATCCACCGTCTCCGCCCCGGCCGGCGCCTTCTCGCCGACCCTGCCCTCAATCATCTCCAACCCCCGGGAGACAAACACCTTACTCCCGCCGGCTGCATCACTCACCAGCTCATAGAACTGCGCCAAATCCACGCCCAGAAACCGAGCAAACGAGGTCGCCTCCGCGGCCGCCACCAGATTCACCGCGGCCATCAGATCGAGCACCAGCTGCGTCCGCTCCTCCTGCTCCTCCGCGCTCAACGCAGACGCATCAACCTCCGCCACGGGCCCCGCAAAATACTGCCTGACCAGCGCCGCATCATCCTTGGCCCCGTCCCCCTGCAGCAGCGCCGAGAGATAGATCTGCTCCGCCGTCGCACAAAGCGGCGTCGGGAAGTGATGTTCTCTCGCCGAGGTTGTGATGATCCCCTACACATATACAGCAGTCAGCAGCCGTTAACCTATTATCACCCTCACCCCTACCACCCCCAAAAATAAGGGAAAAAAAAACATACCGCATCCTTCAAAATAATAGTCACCGCACTAACCCCGGGACTCCAAACCCCTTCACCCCCCAGAATCCTGGGCGACCGATTCTCATGCATCCAGGTCCACGCCTCCCCAGAAACAATCCTCTCCGCCGTGCGCGCCGCATCCAACCCCAACCGCGCCGCCAGACCGTGCGCCTCGCTCGCGCCCAGGATATGGATTGCCGCGAGCACCTGATGCACCATCTTCATGTTACTGCCGGCGCCGATCCCGCCGGGCACCAGGTAGAGCTTGCGGGGGGCGCTGAGCGCCTCCAGGACGGGAGTGGCGGCCTCCAACGCGGCGGGGCTCCCGCCGGCCATGATGGAGAGGGTGCCGGCTGCGGCGCGCAGGGCGCCGCCGGAGACGGGGGCGTCAACCACCAAGATGTCGGGGCGGGTGGTGTGGATGGTTTGGGCGAGGGATTGGGCGGTTGTGGCCGGGATGGTGGACATTAGGATTAGGGTGGCGGATTTGGGGAGGGCTTTTTTTGTGGCTGGTTAGATTGGTGGAGCTGGATTTTTGGGTTTGAGGGTGGGGACAGTGGGAAGATGGAGGGGGCATGGGATAAGTACACTGCACAATGCCCTCGTCTCCGAAGAGCACGCTCTGGACTTGCGGCGCGGAGGCCACCATACACACGTAGATGGATTTGTCTTCGGCGGAGGCGCGCAGCGAGGCAGCCCCAATGCCCCCCGCGGCTTGGAAGCGGTCGATCGAGGCGGGGAAGACGTCGTAGCCGTGGACGGGGTAGCCTTCGTGGACCAGGTGCGTGGCCATGCCGAAGCCCATGGCGCCGAGGCCGACGAAGCCAATGGCTGGTTTGGTCATTCTGGCGGCAGATACAAAGGTGAGAAAACAAAGAAGAAAAAAAAATTCGACTCTGTAATATGGTATGATGTGTTGCGCTGCGTTGCGTTGCGACTTTTACTTATAAGAGGGAGAGTTGATGTCGCAGGGAAGTCCGAGGAGGGGTCGGAGGTGAGCCGATCAGATAATGCGGGGATGACATCAAAAGGGCTGTGTGCAATCCCCCCCGAGTCTATCGTGCCGATACCCCTCCGATACTAGACGGACAGGGCCGAAATGCCAAGGTTGGGTTTCTTGAACGGTCCATTATAGCTTTGTCCTAGAGATTTGCATAAGCCTTACCCACCCACGCATCTATGACACAACAAGCGACGGACTAAGGCTGACAGACACCTTTTCGATACAGGAGGAAGAGACACACACTGCAAACCTATGCGGCAATCTTCGCCAGCATCTCTTCGCGCAGTCCCCAGCCCAACGACATTGCAGCCCCCGGCCCAAACGCCGCCGTCGTGGCTGCCATTCCCATAATCACCTTCCACCACGACAACGGGTACCCGTGCCGTTTCAGCTCCCAATACTTCAACCCCAGCCAGACAAATCCACTTGCCATGACGAGGGTCTCGTCATATTTCATGAACCGTGCAGTTCCCTCTGCAAAGCTGCCGACAGGCAAGGTATAATCCCATGGTCCAGGTAGAATGACACTGGCCATGGACGAGCCCGCTGGGAGGGAATGGCGAGCATACGTAAAACTGAGCCCTGAAATGACGGCAAAGGACAGATAAATGCCACGAATGTATCGCAGGGTCTTTCTCGAGCCACGCTTGGCTTCGACAGTTTCTTGTTCCTTGGATGACTTCTTGACTGGTTCGGAGGCCACTTTGTCCACAAGACGGAAAGGAGCTTGGAGAAGTGGAACCACCACCGGGAATAGCTGCCAGATAGCATTGAAATACCGGCGATTTTGTAATTCCCGAGGAAGAAAATTCCCGAGCGTCGGGAGGTAGTATGCCGTGAGCATAGTAGGCAGGAAGGTCGTCAGCATATTTGATCTGACTTCATGGCGACGGTGAACAAGCTTGCTCAAGGGTGTTCGTAGGTGCTCGATTATGTAGTAAATTGGAGCAATCTTCCCGATCCCTCTCAGTTGGAATGCTGCTCCCATGGTGATCGGACTGTAAGTTCAGATGATCAGTGGGTTCTGTATCGGACTGATCCCAGGCCACTCACAAAAGTATCTCCACCCAAGAGTGGGCTCTTCGGCCGCTTTCCAGAAGCCAGATGCCGTAGATCGGACCAAGGTCCGCCATAAACGACAACATCTGGGCGTGTGACAAAACATCGGATCCACTGATTGATGGCATAAAACAGGTCACTAGTGCCCCAAAAGCCTTATCCAACAACGGAACATTGTAAAGAGGCTCGGTCAGCCTCAGAACTTCCCCACTGCTCGCAGTCCAACTGCCGGACTGAAGGAGCGATCCTATCAAAGGACGGAGTCCTGCAAGCACAGAGTCCATCGAGACATTGGCATAGGCGTAGCATGTCAGAAGCGGGGTGCAAGCCAGTGCTCTATTCGCAAGCGAGCCCGTCTCAATTTCTTTGGGGTCTTTCAAACAGGGCATGGCGCAAATGTATGCTTTTCCTGGCAGTGGAAGCAAGATCTCTTCTTCGTCTTCCCATGCCAATGAAGTGGTGAAGGATGTGTGATGACTGACATTTGACTTGAGTCAGGAAATTGGGGCCCCGAGATTTTATAGCAACCAACGACCACCATCTTGACCTTGAACCGGACCACTCAATTCTATGTTGCCTTGTCAAGAGGGTTCGTAGTCGGGGAGGCTACACAATTGATCATCCTAGTTGCTACCGTAATAGTTCTTGCCGGCTTGTGATCTGAAGTGCTGATCAGTCTTGGCCATGATAACAGAATCTCTCATTAGTCGTTAAACCTTGACCATTCCCCGACAAAAGAGGTACTGCTGGGAATAAGAAAGATGCCGTACAGCTGACCCGGGATGTTTGCGCGAACTCCGGGATATCCATGCGTTTGATAGATTGATCGACTCCACCGTGTCAAGCCCGCAGCTAACTTGCGAGAATTTTCGGATAAGCAAACTCGTCTCAAGATGTATCTTATACCATTCGAGGGTGTCATCTGGGCATTTGTCTTGATACATGCAAGACCTCACTTGTCTGATGGTTGGGCTCTGCTGTTTGAGTTGCTGACTTTCCTTGAATCATATGCCGACCGCACCGAGGTCGAACCTAACACCTGCATCATACCATGTCTGGCGTTCTCCCTGTGCAAGTAGCCGTCTTCTGCAAGGAGTACAAATCCGTGTCTGCGCATGTCAGCCCAGCCGCACATTTTATTATGCTGCCATGATCCTCCCCTCAAATTTCCACAAGATTTCAAAGATCCGTCAATGCATAATGTAGAATATATATATGAAATTCCATTGGTAGAACTGACCACCGCGGCTAAGAAAATCAACATTCACAATTTACACCTATTGAAACATCCGACATGAGACCTCGAAAACGGAGGGAATAGAGCGCGAGCAAAAAGGAACTGGAAGAAAGAGAAGGAAAGGTGAAGAGAGGAAGGAATTGAAATAACACACGACTTAGGACAGAAAGGGAAAGAAGAAATCAAGCAGTTCTTTTCTTTTGTTCTTGGTCGCTTTCCTAGTGAGCAGCCATCATCTTCTTGATCTCGGCAATTGCCCGGGCAGGGTTCAGACCCTTGGGGCAAGTCCGGGAGCAGTTGAGAATGGTGTGGCAACGGTAGACGCTCATGCTGTTGTCCAAAGCGGCCTTACGCTCAGCGGTCTTCTCGTCACGGGAATCGGCCATCCAACGGTAGGACTGCATCAGGATGGCGGGACCGAGGTACTCCTCGCTGTTCCACCAGTAAGAGGGGCAAGAGGTCGAGCAGCAGGCGCACAGAATACATTCGTAGAGACCGTCGAGCTTCTTACGCTCCTCCGGGCTTTGGCGGTACTCAAGACCCTGCGTTCACCATGTTAGTACCAGTTCGCCCCATTCGATGCGACAAGTACTTACATCCTCGGTAGGAGTATCACGCTGAAGGTAGGGCTTGATGGACTTGTATTGCTTGTAGAAGTAGGTCAAATCGGGGACCAAGTCCTTGACGACGTAGGTGTGAGGCAACGGGTAGACGCGAGAATCCTTGGCAGTGTCGGTGGGAATGCGGCCTGCATATGAACAATCAGCGACTCGGATTCACACAATTGCGGTTGCGGAAATAATCAGAACATACACAAGCAAGCGAGAGTGTTGACACCATCAATGTTCATCGCGCAGCTACCGCAGATACCCTCTCTGCAACTTCTCCGGAAAGTCAGGGTGGGGTCGATCTCGTTCTTGATACGGATGAGCGCATCGAGCATCATGGGACCAGTCTTGTTCAAATCCAACTCATAGGTCTGCATCTGGGGCTTCTCGGAGGGAGTATCGGGGTTCCAGCGGTAGACCTGGAACTTCTTGATGCGAGGCTGCTCGGAGGGGGTGGGTTCCTGCACGGTCGACGTCTTAGACTCGGGGGTGACGCTGGTAGTGGCATGGCCGGTTGCGCTCACCTGGGCCACGGGATCAACGGTCGCATAAGAGCGGGCGAAGACAGCTGGGCGGAAGAGGGGCTTGGAAGCCGCGAAAAGGCGCGAAGTCGAGCGGAGGGCAGACATGGTGGGCGATCCTTCAATTTCAACCCGGAGGGATGGAAGATAGGGAGGCGAAAAATGGGATAGACCCTGAGGGCACTGAGGCGAAAGGAGAAATAGACGGTGAGACGTCAACTGGATGTTGCGAAGCGGAGAGGAGAGAGGTCCGTAGAAAGGCAGCCAGCCAGCGGCAATGACAAGGCAACGACCAAGAGAGGCACGAGGTGGATTGAAGTCGAAGTCGATCGATGCTGGCGATGTTTTGTCGCCTTTGGAATCGGAAGGTAACCTCGGGTCTGACGGCCGGCAATTGGCTGACTCAGCACTTGAGGACCAATCAGGCAAAGGCTAATTGCAAGCGTCGGGGATACACGGCGAGGCTCTACAGTGCGGCTAGACTTAAGGGAATGTATTTCCCTGTGACGGCGAGTGAGGATGTGCTTGGTCCAATTCTTCTCATAGGAAAAGAGAAGAGGCCGACCTAGAAGCACTAATCACCATTCTAGTCTTTACGTCTTTTCACTCCCCCGCATCATAGCCATCCCCAGCTCCCGTCGCGCAAGGGCAGGCTCTTTACTAGTTATGTAATCCGCTTTCCGCCGCCTGCATGGCACTGTCCAGTCTGTCCCAAAGGAGGAACGGAGCCGAAAGCTTTTGCCGCCCTTGGTGTCATGTGATGTGGTATGTCATTCAGGCATCAACACTTACCCGCCAGGCTATAAGGCATAATAATTGGTTTCAGGCACAAAGGCATTAAGGCGGGAACAACGAGGCAGCGACAGGTTAGCAGTCTTTCATGGGAGTTAACTTATCCAGCTGAGCCCCGCGGGCGGAACTTGGGAGGAACTCGAAATGTAAGACATCGTCCACAAATGCCGACACCAAGCTTCTTGACACCGTCACTATCCTTACCCAACCAGCGATAAAGGCTTTATCAAAAAGACATCACATTGCATTAGTCGGCAGTCATCTGCCGTCCATTACCGGCCCCCAGTCTGAGGATGATGAGTTTAATTGATTGATTGTTGGCTTTGGGCTTCATGTCCAAGTTGTGCTGGCAAGATGGGATTAACCCAGCTCCTCAGTCTTATGGATTCGAGTCGCAGTCTGATCTGTCTGTTCCCTATACCTACCGAGATCACTTGCGTAGGACAACAGCAAGCGGATTGAATCCTTATATAATGTTCTTGGCTTAATTTGGGATGCCATTTCATGCCGCGAGATCCGATTAAGGACCTCATCTTATGCGTCGTATTCGGACATCCCCTTTTTCCATCTCTCCTCGCATTCGACATGGTCAGTCGGTGGAAATGGGCGTGGTCACTATCACATTAGCTGGGCTTGGTATGGAGCATACCATCTCGACATTTGCCAATACTTGAGCGATATGGAAGCACAAGTACCTTGTTCCTCACCAGGAAGACACTGCAGATGCATATCATTGCCCGAATCGGAGGCGATATGAGCAGTCTGCTCCTCTGCCATAAAGCGGGAAGGGACCAAGTAATTTGCACTAAGAAGCCGGTCTCCTATAATTGCCATTTTATAGTTGTGACTGACGAACAAAATAGTCAGCCAATATCGCAGCTACGCCACTCTCTTGCGGGCCCAGATGCTAGATTGCAACATTCAGGAATCAACCGCTGCATAAGGATTGCGGAAAAGTTGCTGCATCTGGTCAAGGGCGCTGGCGGGAAATGAAAACAACTGAATATTCCACCCCTCTTCATCGCTCGTCCAGATACCGAGTAGCATTGCCCATGCTTAAGGCCGGAACCCGATGGTTCTACAGCCCTTTATCCACCGACTGTTCTCTGTTATATGAGCCTCTACGCCCGTGATGGTAATTCGACCGACCGTTGCTGGACGACAGAGATAAAATGTCTTCCATTGTTAGGCTTATCGCACGTACAATCCGGCCTCACCACGCCGTACATATCTCATCACCAAATTGCAAGAAGCTTAAACTGCTAAGGCTTTTGGTCTCAGATTAAGACTTCACCTCCATTAGTTTATTTCCGCTGGCGTCCTGCAGCTAAATTCGAATGTAAGACACAGGTGGACGTCATCCCCATTCTTCATCAAGGACCGGATCCTCTTGGAAGACTTGGGAGGTTATTTCAAGTGGAGACTCCTGTCCTTAATGGCACCAGTCAGAGACGCTGATGGGATCATATTGCCCTCCCTTACCAAGGTGGCCATAATATCCGATTGATGGAGACATACTTCGTGTTCTGGAAGCGCTCGGAGCTACCCTTCTGGGAGTGAAAACGGGGTGCTGGCTTGCCGGTGCAATAAATCTTACGTTTCTTTTGGGTTCTTTTTTGTTTCGGACTTCTGGTCCCGCGATGTGGTGGGTCGGAAAAAAGGCCCACTTGCCTGTTGGCTGTGGACCGGCGGTTCAGCGTTCCTGACACTATGCAGATACGATCTAAAGATTCTTTTTCCGCAGTCACCAGCCATACTCTGCGAGGAACATGGGGAACAACCCTGCAACCGTTTAACAGGAGGTCACAACAAGATCTGAGGCTCCTTGATGGGTGAGACCGTGAGACACGGAAGGTTTCCGGCCCGGCTCCGTGTTACACCCGAAGCCCTAACCCCCCCTCCCCCCCGGCCGGTGCCCTAGTCGAGGTTCCATCATTCTCAACATCCTCATCGTTCTGCAGTCCTGCAGTCGTCTGGCCTCGTCTGGCCATCAATATCACGGATCTCCAGCCAAGACGGAAGAATTACTCTGTCTACGTGTACTGGTGAGGTCCGACCTCCGGCCTTTGCCACGGCGTGATTTTTACTTTAGACTACAGGGACTAAATAGCAGCGGCGTGATAATCATGAAACATCGTAAATCACCCGGGATGCTCCACAGTCTAACGCCTCTATCGCGCCAGTTCTTATCTGCTACCGGCCGCCCCTTGACAGTGGATCGCCGTGTTCATGGGCTATGAACCAGGAGGTTCTCTCCGTGGTGATGGGCAAACCATGTGGCTGCTGCTGCTTATCATTTCCCATTTTGAATCAGCCCACGGTCTGGTCCGTTCAACTCTTCCGAAATTCCATGATTCCCTTGCAAGGCCTCGGTCACTCCTCCGGCGCCAAGTCTGGGACTGATCACGAAGAATTGACGCATTGGTGCAAGAGTCCTTAGCTCCTAATCAAAAATGGCCTTGGTCGTTTCACCTCGATCACCCGTTCAATTTCATTCGATATCTTGAATCTGCTCCATCAGATTGGAGATGGTGGCTTTCTCCTCATGATTCCCGGGATTCCAGCTATATAAGTTCTCTGGAGCATCCC